GATGCTCCGCATGGCCTCTCCCCGCTCCCTGCTTCCCTGCCGTGTGTCTCACCAGCGTCCAGAGGTCTCCCTGCTTTCTGTACCGCAGCTCATACTGAAGTTTGCCCTTGAGTCCGTACAGATCATAATTGGAGCTCCAGGAGATGTTATAACGTCCCGAGAAGGTCACGGTCACGTTGAAAGGAGGAGACGGCTTGACTTAAAGAAAAAAGCCAGAAAGATAAAATGGGTGAGATCTGTAGAGCCCAGAAAGCTCTGGTGACCCATCCTTTATATGATCAGGATTAGCAGCCCCACGTGACTTTGGGTGAAGCACCTCCTGTCTCCGGGCCTCAGTTTATTCATGTGAAAAATGAGAGACTTCAACTGCATTGGGCTGTAAACTAAGAGGCGGCAGGTGACAGAAGTGGGTGAAGCAGGTTTGGGAACTGAACTATAAAGAGCCCCCCCAGGCTAACGGGGGGTGCAGGACTTGGGCCCAGCCCATGGCAGCAGGGCAGTAACACGGACCAGGGCGGCCGGGAAGAAGAAACCCTGAAAATCCAGATTATCGTGGGAAATCTCTCAAATGTCAAATTTGGCTACTAATCCAAAACCTTTCTAAGCTACCTGTTGGCCAGACCCCCAGGTCCTCTCTGTCTGCTTTCAATGAGGGTGTCAACTCTCTGAGTCCCAGCTCCCCTGAGAAGCCTCATTCCTCCCTGTGAAAGGCAGTCAGTTCCTGTATCACACAGCGTGAAAATTCGCGGGGCCATCCACTCAGTAGAGAAGGAAGTGACTTCAGGGGAGCCCAGTGACAAGTGTGTGCTCCTGTGAGAGAGAAGCGGTGGCCTTGGGCACCCGCCTTCTCCGTGCTCTGTCCCAGGCCCTAATCTTCCGTGACCCTGTCACCAGCTGCCTCCTCTCTGGGATCTTAGCTCCTTGGGGCAGAGGTTTAGTTCTTCTGGGTCAGTGCTGCGCTGCACCTCCAAGGATGGAGTCCGGCACACAGTAGGCCCTCAAGAAACATCTGTTAAATTCAGGTGTTCCCCCCGCACACTCCGAGGCCGCCACAGTCTCAGCGATGGGTCCTTCTGACCTGGAACGGTCCCTAGCCCCCTCTCCTCTCCCCCGGCCGCGGTGGGCCTGGTTGTTGGCTTCCTGGTGGCCTGGGCTGGCGAGGACCGATGCAGGGAGGGCCTCGGGAGACGGTGGCGGAGCCCAGGGCCCAGGAGGAGGGCGGGGCGGGGAAGCAGAATGCGCCTCCTGCCACCTCGGACGGACGGCAGGCCTGGCCCGGACCCTGGCAGGGAGGGCGCCGGGGGAAATGCGACTTGGACCACCCTGCGGGGAGGAGCGGCAGCCCCGCCCGCGCTCCTCGTGGGGCCTGGGGCCGGCTCCTGCCTGCCCAGCTCTCGGGGAAGTAGGAGGGCACCCCTGCTTGGTAAACTCACCACCCCTGGATCTAAATGGCTGAGTGTTTGTGCGTGTGCGTGTGCGTGTGCGTGTGCACATGCATGAGAGAGAACGTGGGCACCTGTGTCCGTGCGGTCTGGGCCGCTAGCTGGTTGGACATCTGTGCCTTTACGGGTGTACTTATGAGGGTGTGTGGGTGTGTGGAAGTCTGCGTGTGTCTGGGTGTGTGTGAAGCTTTGCTCACACCTTCTGTGGTGTGACATCCACCCAGCAAAGTGGTACAAACCTGGACGCCAGAGCGTGAACACTGGATACCTGCTTATCCCCTCGCCCCACCACTGGGGATCTAGGGACAGAAACTCCCAAACCTCAGGGCCTGGGCCTTCCTGAGGGCAGGATTCTCTTTGCAGTTTGTGTTTGCATGCCTCTGGGGATGGGCCTCTCACCCCCTACCTGGGTGTACCCCACTTTGGGTACACACACATACACACACACACACACACACACACACACTAAAAGCTGCCTCCTGGACCCCTCCCTGTCCCACCCTGGTTTTGGACCCACAAAGATAACTGATTCCACCAGCCAGGTCCCTTCTGGACCTTGGCCTCCTCCTACCTCCAGCTTGGAAGGAAATTCCAGGCCTCACTGGAGCTGATGAATGGGAGAAAACTTGGGAAGGTTTTCTCTGTGACTCAGTGCCCCCCCCTTGCCTCATAAGGAGACAGAATTCCAGAGGGTCAGAGTTAAAAGGGCTCTCATTCTATGGTCAGCGGTAGGCAGGGGCTGAACCAGAGCTGAAGCCCAAGGTCCCGGCCCCATCCAGCTCCTTTCCTACCTGTTGCCTCTCTGGTTCAGGCCCAAGCACAGCAGTGCATCTGAAGGGCGGGACTCTTGCGGGAGGCCAGGAAGTGGGATGCATAGGAGTCCACCGGTTTGCGGGGCGTTGAAGGGGAGCCAGCCCAGGGAGGGTGGGGCCCAGCCCCCGCCTGGGTTCTCCTCAAGGAGTACTCACTGCTCGTGGCCAGGACAAAGCTGCCACACTCCTGGGAGTGGTTGCCAGACTGGTCTGTCATGTTGACGCTGAAAATGTCGTCGGCCATGAAGTGGAACACATCCATGTGGCACGTGTACTTCGCATGCGTGGCATTGTGGCTGGACCGGCGGAGGCTGCAGGAGGTGACCTCGTCCTCCAGTTCTCCGAACAGGTCTTGCCTTCAAGGACAGAGCAGCCAGTCACGGCTGGAGGCCGGCAGGGCTCAGTGCACGGGGCCAGGGCAGAAGCCCAGGCTTTCAGGAGGTGGGACTTGAGGTGGGGCCGGAGGCCACCTAGTCAGCCGAGCCTTCCCCAGGAAAGGCGCACCCTCTGCTGAAGCATCCCCGATGGACTGAGTCCCAGCTCTGCTTGCATGCCTCCAAGAGACCAGGAGCTCACTATCTCATTCAGAGCAGCAACTCTCAACTTTAGAAATTTGGGCCATTCTTGCCTGAACTGAGCCGAAATCTGTCCCTGTCAGCTCAATCAACTAGGTCACTGTCTCATAGGAAGGGCACTAAGCATTTCAGGTCTCCTTCCCACTCTCCTTCCATCCACAATCCACTGAACACCTAATAAACACCTTTGCTAAGGACCAAGATAAGAGCCAAATGAAGCCTCGTCCCTGCTCTGGTGAACTTCCAGAGAGGGTGTTAATATGAGGTTTGGGGAAATGCTCTGGCTTTTTAACTCCTACTTGGCAGAAACAATGGGTTTTGAAGTGTGTATAGACTTTCACCAGCTATTTTTTTTCCCTACCTACAAATTCAGGCTCTGAATGACCACCCTCCAGGGCCAATATGGATGTGTGAATTCAGATCTCTGCCAAATGTTGGAGGTAATAGAAATTTCTCCTGAATAAATGCTCTCCAGGCCTCCAGCCTGCACCACTGTAATGGCTCGCTGGTGGTGTCCTTGCCTTCCCCACCTTCCCTGCAATCTCTCTCACGTGCACAACAGCCAAGGGGGCCTTAAAAACTCCCTGTCACTCCCCTGCCTAAAACTCTGCAGCGGTGTCTCACCACCCACACAATATAACCTGGCCCCTGCCAACCTCTCGCCTCCTTTCCTTGCCACTTTCCTTCACACTGGCTCAGCCCCTCCAGCCACACTGACCTCCTTGCTGTTCCTCAAACTCACCAGCTCTTCCCGCCTCTGAGCCTTTGCACATGCAGTGCCCTCTGCCCCGAATGCCCTTCCCAGCTCACTGCTGCTTCCTTCGTATCCAGAGAGGCCTGCCCTGACCCCTGGGGCCCTCCCCCACCTCGCTGGCCCTCTACCCTGTGGTCCAGCTTCCTGTTCTTTAGAGCACTCACTGTTATCAGAAAGCATCCTGTTGGCTGCTGTGTGTTTATCATGTTCGCCAGCCATTCACACTGCAGTGTGTCACCTCTGGGACACCTGGGACCTCACAGGTTTGGGGCTCTGCTGACTCACTAATGCCTGCAAGTGTCAGGCAGGAGCTTAATAAATGTGTTCTGCATGAATGACTGAATGAATGAATGATGACAGTGAGAGCCAGCTTTCTCCATCCTGAGCAGCATGTTGGCAGAGTCTCTCCTTGCCTAAACTCTGCTCAGGCTCCTCTGAACTCTCCCCTCGACTAGGCCCTCACTTTGGGGTTTCTGTGCTTATCTCCGCATTGTCTACTTTTCGCAAGGCTCCTGCTAAGTCAGTGTAGCCAGAATCCCCCACCCTCAATACCAAACTGGGCTTCCCACCCCTCCGCCATCCCCAAGCGATGCCTGATCCCCCTGGGCTACCTTGGGCAAGAGTCCTGTTAGGTTGGATACCCCAAAGCCCCCTAACCCGTGTTTCCTTACAGTCATTTTCCAATCACTGACCCCACCCTGCTCCTTGGCTATAAATCGCAACTTTCCCTTGTCATGTTCGGGTCGAGCCCAGTCAGCAAAACCCTGTGCAGTGGTGCCCACGCCTATCATGATGGTCTTAAAGTCTGCCCTCCCACTCTTAACAAGCGTCATGAATGTTTCCCTTATCAATATGGACTTACAAGGACCCATGGATTTAGGAGTCAGGCTGCCTGTGTTTGAATCCCAGCTACACCATCCACTGGCTGTGTGACCTTGGGCAAGTTGCATAACCTCTCTGAAATTCAGTGTCCTCACTCATAAAATGAGAGTCATATTGTGAGGACTGGAGGTGATCATTCATGTGAGACACATGGCAGGCTGCCTGGCAGGTACTAAGTGCTCAAAAAATCATGTGGGAGTCCAGTCATTTCGGGGTCTCAAAACCACAGGCCTGTGCAAGTGACAAAGTATGACCTTTGGAGCTGGACAGAGCTGCCCTAAGCCTCTCTACTCATTCTCTGGACAAGTCGCATGAGCCCTGCATGGTCCTCTGCAAGATGGGCACAGTGATCCCCATTTCACAGTCTTTCTTGGGGTGAAACCAAATCCTGTTGGTGATGTCATTGAGTGAGGCCCCAGGAAGTGGCAGCTATTATTTTTATTGCTAAACTACCTGCATGGCACACAGTAGGTCCAACTCAGTCTGTAGTCTCCTGTGGTCCTGCCCCAGGACCTTGCTCCCCTGAATAGTACCCCCAGGGCTGGTGAGGCCCAGCCACTTACCAGGTGAGGGTGAGAGTGCTGGGGTGAAAGGTCCACGTCTCCAGGAAGCAGGTGACCGTCTGGAAGTAATCGGTGTAGCAGACAAGGTCTGAGCAACCCCAGGCTGCAGGGGGAGGGGAGAGAGGGGCCTTGGTCGGGGGTTGTCAGGGGGCTGCCCAGCTCCTCACTCCCTCGTCCCCTCCAGGGCTGGAGGATGAGTGGAGGCAGGGGTCCCAGGGCCAGGATGACCATGGTGATTCAGGGACCACTAAGACGTGGGATAAGGCAAGGAGGTCCTTGTCCCCTAAGAGTCTTTGTTTGAGCCCTCAAAATTCAAGGCTGGCTATGGAGACAAGACATTCCTAATGTGAGGCATAATTAACTAAGAGGGTCCCACCTCAGCTCTCTCCCCAAGAGCCCTGTGTCCAGCCACCAGGTCAGCACCTCTGCAGGCCAGTCTCCCTCTCGGGTGGTGGGTCCTGACCCCCCCCAGACACAGGGCGAGCCGGCACGTCCCTCACGGGGCCTTCATGAGGTCAGCGAGGGCGCTGCTGAGAAAGCCTCGAACCCCGACAAGGAGGAGCCCCGGGCTGCACAGCAGCAGGTCCAAGTCACGACACGACCTCCGACCTCCGTGACGCCGCAAGGGCCGCGGACAGTAAACCTCAGGAAACTGCCCAAACCAGTACTGCCACCAGCAGGCGGCTCATGGATCTCCCGCTCAGGCAGTTTTATTGCAAGATGTAACACTCCCCACCTCCAGCATTTATTGCTTTACTTTGTGCTAAAAATATAGGTGCAGGAAGATGATTTGACTTTGGGTGGTGGGCACAAAGGGGCAACATACAGATCTTGTAAACATAGAAATCTACACCTGAAACCTACGGGATCCTATTAACCAGTATCAGCCCGATAAGTTAAAATATACATATGTGCGTGTGTGTGTGTATACACAGTCACAATCTAAATTTTGTTCAATATTTAACGAAATAAATGTAATAAGTTTTAGTTTTGTTTTGTAAGATCAAGGGCCAACGTTGCTATTTGACTCCACTATTTATCAGAAATTTATTCCCCTTCTTAAGTGGATTCATTTGTAGTGGCTTTTCCCTATTTTTCTTGACTAGTGAAGAGCCAGGGCGTGTGGTCCATTCCCTCCCTGGACCTCGCTCTTGGTCAGAAGCTGGTCTGGCGCCTAGAGCACTGCTCTGGCAAGTCCTGTCGCCCCCACCCCCTGCCTAGACCAGGACCCGGAGGCCCGGGACTGCACCCGCCTCCGTGTGACCCAGGAAACCTAACCTGCGCTAGTCTCTCCCCTACAAACGGGGCAGACATTGCCCCTAGACAGTCACGCTCTCCCCGGGAGGTCTCAGTCCTCACCTCCAAGGGGTCTGAGTGGGGCAGGGACCCCTGCCCAAGGAGGCTCCCGGGAGGAGGCAGGGCCTGTCCTGGGGCACAGAGGGGCTAGGGCAGCTCCGGGTGGAGAATGGGACTGATTGGGGCAGGATCTCAGCCCTGAGCTGCAGGAGCCCCCGGTGGCTGTCCCCCCCGAGTTTATTTCCTGGTAGATCTCTCAGGGTTTCAGAACTTGAAGAGGAGCTGCCATTCCTAGCTGGGCTCAAGGCCACCAAGGGACAGGGTTTGTCCCAAACTTGGAACGAAACACTGGGGAGGGGACAGCGCCCCTGAACTAGCAGGGAGGTGACATCATGGACCAGAGGGAGTAAAAAATTCAGTCACCTGGTTAGTAATCCGACCCTGGGCTGAGAGCCCCAGCACTGTCCCTCGCCTGGAGTTATCAAAGCGTACACACATGACTCACGACTGCTCCAGGTCACTACCTGTAATCTGGGGACACTGGCCCGTGGAGGGCGTGGAGGTGAGTACACGCTGTCAGGGGGTGCAGCCCACGCTCAGTGAAGGCAGCAAAGCCGGGGGGTTAAGGCCGCGGGAACCAGGCAGATCTGCGAACTGACCCCAGAGCGGCCGCTGCCCGGCTGCGGGGCCGCGGACCGGTTCCCTCGCCCTCGCTGGGCCTCAGCTTTCTCAGCTGAGACCTGGGCGTCACTCAGCAGGGACCTCATGGTGCTGCCAGGAGAATGGGATGAGATGGCCCTCAGCACCCAGTACACAGCGAGGGCTTGTTATTTGTGCCCACAGGTGTGGTGCTTGGTGGGTCACCCAAAGGCCTGGTAGAGCCAGGACAGTGCTGGTCACTCAGAAAGGCCACATAAAGGAGCCCAACACCTGTTTGCTGAAGGAGCTGTCGCCGAGGCTCTAGGTCTCTTAATAAAAACCAGGGAGAAAGGCTGAGGGTCAGCTGAGTGGCTGCGGTGGGCCCTCCTGCCCCAGTCCAGCCCCATTCGAGCCTGTGTGCTGCAAACCCCTCCTCCGGGAAGGCTTCCTGGATCTCTCAGCCCTGGCCGTGCCCCATGTCTACCTCCTGGCCTTTCCCAGCTCAGTCTCGGACATCACCCTCCCCTCCCCTGAATGCAATACCTCCGGATCCTCCGGAGGCACCTTCCAGGGCCCTGGCTACTTTTGTCTCCACCTCCCCTCTTCCCCGCTGGGAACATCGGTGCCTGCTGAGGGTCCGGTGACTGCTGAAGAATGTCCCCTAGGAGAAACTAGGTGGGACCAACGGCAGGCCTTCCTCACGCTGGGGGCTGGAGCCGCCAAGGCAGAGAGCCATGGGAATGCAGGGTGCGGCCTCTCAGCGCTCCAGCAAGACAAGGCCTGAGCTGGGGGCTGGGCCACTGGACACCTGCCTGAGCCACTTCTGGCTGATGAAGCTCTCTGGGTGGTTGGATTCTGGTTGATGGAGAGCTGGCTGCTCCACCTGCATCAGCCTCGAGCGGACACATGCCACAGACTCTGGCCCTGGGGCCTCCAACCCTGACCCAGCACCCGCAGGACACCCGGCCCTCCCGCTGCAGACTGCGGGCCAGCTACTCACCGCCCTGGAACACCAGCAGGAGCAGAGCAGCGGCCCAGCCACGCAGCATGCTGACTCTCGGGGGCCTGGAAGAGACACACAGCAGAGGGTGGGTCCGGGCCTGGGGATCAAGGGGCCCTGAGCAGCCTCCCGCTGGTCCCCATCCGTCCCTTGGAAGACTTGCCTCAGATTCTTGGATTGTCTCAGAAAAACAAGATTTTGAGAAGCCCAAGGATGCTCCCAGGTATTCCTGCCCTTTAGAAATGGCTGACTCTCCCTGTGGATCCCTCCCACTTCTCCCACCTTCTTCCTGTCCCCCTTACGCAGTCCCAGATGACAGGTGAATTCAGAGGGAGGGGCCCGCTGCTCTCCCACACACACTTAGTCTATACTGTGGAATTAACTGTGGGCATTTATGCAGCTAAGAAAGAGGGAGGGAGGGGACACTGGTTTGGAAAGTGGTATTTAATGAGCAGCAATCTTGAGTACTCCCTCCTATGAAGCACTCATGTTGATGTTAGCCTTATAAATTGTCTCCTTACTAAATAACAAATCTAAGATTCACGCATAAAGAAGACCCCTACTGAATACCTAAAATAAAGTTAATCTAACAAAGAGCCTTTTACTCAATCCAACTCCTAGATTAGCCCACTAGGGAGCACACTGAAAACCCAAACCCAGCCAAACAAGAGCAACCTGGGCTCCCCAGTCTAGGTGAGATGGAGAAAGAACTCTTTGGAGAACATTAAGCCTATCTAGGAAGAGTGGACTTTGGTGCGCTGGGCAGAGGAATGACCCACCAGGCTGGCAATGTCAATCTCTACTTGGCACGTTGCCCACTGCACCCCCAGTTTTGTGTCTGCTTGGGGAGGTGCCAGCCAGAGGCTAGGGGGTCTACTGGTCAGGGGTATAGCTGGAAATGGAGCCTAGAGGGATGACCTGTGGAGGGACCAAGACACACACATGGCTTCTTCCAGACACCATCCCCTAGCCCACAGTGGGAAGGCGCCCCCAACCTGGGGTCCCGCAGATCCTATTCTGGCCCCATCAAGAGGTCTCTCTGAGCTCCTTACCAAGTCACCAAGTAGGCAGCAGTGAAGGGCAGAGGTTCAGATTACCACCTGTGTGGCTCTGTGCCAGTCACTTCCCCTCTCTGAGCTTTGTAGAAAACAGTAAAGCCCACTTCCAGGATTGTTGTGAAAATTCAAAGTGATTTGCAGAAAACCCTGAGCATACTCCTGACACATAAATAGCTGTGACTGACACAGAATTTAGAGCTTCAGGAAGGGAGGAATTCCAGAATGATCTATGCAAGAGGTCCGCAAATTTCTCACTTTCAAAATGTTGGCCATATTTGTAGATCATGTGTTCTGTTATTTATTTAATATGTTTTCTATAAATGAAGTCACTTAAAAATTAACTCGAACCTCCTCCTAAGCAATAATTTCCATAGTTGTGTATTTTTCCCCAACACATTTTAAAATGAATAACATTGCTATTAAAATAAGATAATGCTGGGGCAAATTCCATTTAAAGCTGCTTTAAAAAGAACTGATCTTACCCCAGGCCAGCAGGAGTCCTGCTATCACACTCTGAGGATTCGACCTCCCATCACAGGAGGTGCAGTCAAATCTGCTCCTCACTAGCGTGTCCACACCTGTGGCCCCAGCCCCAGCACAAGGCCTGGCATAGCTATGTCCCATCACTCCCCAGGGGCTCCACCTTGACCACAGGATAAAGCACAAACTCCTTTGCCCAGACTCCAGGCTCCTCATCACCATCACCCCCACATTCCTGAGTCCTGCATAAATGACACATAGGCCCTGGGGTTGGAGGGAACCTGCTGCTTCTGTCTGCCTAGAGTCTCTTCTGCTCTTACGAGGAGCTCCTCAAACTGGCCCAGACTCAAACCTGTATGCCATATGGTGGGCACCTGACCCAGGCCTGGCCAACACCTGCCTAGCCACCTGCCTAGCCACAGTGAATGGGTCAGGAATGGACACCAACCCAGGCAAGGCCAATGGGAGAAGTCCTGGGAATTTCTTCTAGAGCTCTAATTAAGAGGTACTTTTTGAGATCATATACCATGATCAAGTGGGATTTATTCTTGGAATGCAAGGTTGGTACAATACCCAGAAATCAGTTAAAGTGATACACCGCATAAATAAGACAAAGGATAAAAATCACATGATCATATCAATAGATGTAGGGAAAGCATTTGACAAAATCTAGACAGAGAAAAAAAGAGGTACTTTTTGGAGTGCCTACTGAAAGCTGGCACCCATCTCTGTCACCTCTCACAGAAAGGTTGCCTGAAAATTATGCCAGTATTGAGAAATACAGATCTAGAGCTCCCACGGCATCATTTGAGGACCTGGATCCAGCTGCATCTGAAGTCCACACCTGAACTTTTTATTTACGTAAACCAAAAACAAAACACAACACCTGTTTTGCTCAACCATGTTGAATTATGCTCTGTTGCTTGCCACCAAAGAAACTTGATACAGTGGAATAGAGCCAAGGGTCCAGAATTTGAACCCAGAGGATCTTGGAGCTTCTCTGGTCCTTCTACTCTCTGACCTCAATTACTATCTCTAAAATGGGGACAGTAATGCCCACTGCACCTGGCAGTTAAGAAGAGTCCTTGGGAAAGCAGATGTGGCCGTGCTCGTTGAAATGTAAGTTACTATACAAAGGTGCTGGATTCTTGCTATGACTGTCCCACTGATCTGAATTACTCACTATCCTCTTAGCACCCCAGGCCCCATCAAGCCTCTCTGCCTTTGCATGAGGCAAATTCTTATGCTGTGTCTTCTCCTTAAACACCCTTTTCCCTCCCGTCACTCTAGACTCTGCCTTCATGGCCCACCTGCTCTGTCTCTGCTCCATGCATGAAGCCACGGTGAAATGTTCCAGAACTCCGACCACTCATTGCATTCAGGGTTTCCACCCATTCTGTTTTCTACTTGCTATTTATCTTTATTTTACCTCCCATTTTCACCCCAATAAACATGTCTTAAAAGAAGATATAATACCACTACCATGGACAGGTAACTAGTATGAAATGGAGAGGTGGTGTGTACCATAGTAGTTAAAACAGACTTGGGGCCAGCCTGCCTCGGTTCAAATCCCAGCACTTCCCTTTATAGACTGTGTGACCTTGGGAAGTTTCCTTTCTGGGCCTCAGGGTCCTCATCTGTGAAATGGAAATAATAATAACAGTACTTGCACCAAAACGTCCTTGGGAGAATTAAATTAGTCAATGTTTGTAAAGCATTTGGAACAGGGCCTAACCTATAGTAGATGTTATATAGGTGTTTCTTAAACAAAACAGTCAACTTACCATAAAACCAAATGCAGTGAAATGTAAAAACTAAATACAAGGAAAATAGAAGACAATAATTGAATTTTAAGAAGCTACGACCCCCTGCCTGAGGCTCTTAGGACCTGAGATCTTGTTTGCCTTTTTTAAAGGGGGATCGAAGAGTGTCAGGGAGGTGTTCAAGCTACACCAGCACCAAACTGAGACTCTCATCCCCTTCAGCATCAGAGGATTGAAAGGCGGTTGAAAGGGGGTCTAACTCTTTTACTAGGGGTCAGGGATATTTAACACCATCTAAAATAAGCCGCTCACTTCTGGGAAACAACAGCCTTGAAGTTTTTTCCTCACGCTCCCATCAACCGACTTCCTCCCCATCCCATTGTGCTCCCTGCTGAGTCCATTTATTTACAGGTCTTCTCGCTCAGGCTGACTCCTGAGGGAAACAGCAGTTTACTTTCCAGGCGCACACCAGCCCACCAAGTGTGCTTCCTGAGTGAAGGGCAGGGGGTGCCCTGGAGGCTTCCTGCTGCGGGGCCCTGCAGCAGCACCCCACCTGCAGCCTCCTGCAGAGGAGTGAAGGGCACCTGGCTTGGAGTCTGCCGGGACCTAGCTGGGTGTCATTGGGCAAGTTCCTGACCCTCCTGATTCCCTGTTTTCTCATCTATAAAATAGGGCTCATGAGTCTGCTACAGGTTTGTTGTAAGCACTAAATGCATCATTGCAGGTAAAGCACTCCAGCACAGTCCTGGATGGCATGGAACCCTGGAGAGGTGTATCCACCAGGCACCAGTGCCGAGAAATGATTTCTGGGCTTGCGGTAATTCGGATTTAAAGCTGGCCAGATTTTAGAAGATCTGCAGCTGTGGAGAAGCTTGAGGGTAGGAAATCATATTGAAGTAGGTGCTATGGAGAATATAAAGTGCTGACTTTCACAGTCATCAGAGAAATGCAAATAAAAGCACAATGACACACCATTTTTATTTTATCAATTGGCAAAAACTGAAAGCTAGATGACACCCCACGTGGCTGAGGACATCGTGTAATGGGACTCTCATTCACAGTTAGCGGAAACGTAACTGATACAGCTGGTCTGGAAAACAGCCTGGCGTGATCTGATTAACTTGAGCAAGAGTTTGCCCGGAGACCCAGCAATTTCACCCCTGTGTACATTACAAAAGCAGCTCTGCCACCTGTGTACTAGAAGCATATGTAGAAGTGTTTATAGCAGCATTGCTTTTAATAATGAAAAACTGGAAACAACCTAAATCTCCATCAGCAAGAGAATGGAAAGGTAAATTGTGGTGTAATCACTCAATGTGAAAATGAACTATAGCTTCACACCACAAAACAAATGACTCTCACAAACAAAATGCAAAATGAAAACAAGTAAGTTAGAAAATAACACCATCTGTGCCACACTCAACACCAGGTAAAAACTGCTCTATAAGTTGTTTAGGTGAACACACATGTGTCCTGAAAGTATAGAGAAATTCAAGGGGATGATAAACATCAAACTTCAAATAGTGCAGAAAAGGGGGTGATGTGACTAAGAGGGGACTTCAAGGGCCTCAACAGTTTGGTAAAACTGAGTGAAGTTACCATGGATGTTGATTAGTATGTTATTCTTTATATCCTTTTGGATGCCCAAACTATTTCATAGAATTTCAAATGTAAGTGAATCTTAAGTTTGTAAAATAAAATGTGGAGGAGGACTTTCACTTCTGGCTATGATGGGGTAGCTGGTGTCAGACTAATTCCCCTACT